CGTTAATATCTCGTTAACTATTGCTGACACCTCAAAATGGTACAGGATTTTTTGATTCAGTATAGGCTGTTCTACCCACGCATGACAAAAAATGCGGTAGTCGCCAAACACCCTGTATATATAATAAATAAGGCGGTCTTCGCCAAGACGTGTTTGAGGTGGATTTAAGCAAAATTGATAAATGTTAAGAGGACCTCGTTCACCTCAAATTTTGATAAAAATACACTGAATCGATGCGTTTTCGCGTAAAAATAAATATTTGATAAAATGAAAAAATGTCGCTCTGTCCCGCGAACCGAGATATTGAAGTTGACGACTATTCAAGTTAGGAAATCTGTCATACTTAAATGTATCGATATGATCATGCGTTGTGATCACATGTGCAAGTTACTCAGTGAAAACAACTCAGTCAAAGTGATGTCAATATGACATCAGTTATATTTGGGGACAACCATAAAAAATATGGTTGTCCCCAAATATAACTATAAAATTATAGTCACTTGAATTATTTTTATGGTATTTTCCACTATTTTATGGTTATAATAACTATAATTATAGTCATTTTAGGTCGCTAACTATATACATTTGTTGGTAGAACTATATACATAGTTATTGTTACTATTATTATAGCAGTAATAATCATAATTATAGTGATATGTAATTATAGTTACAAATATCAAACATTTTTCTCTCAGTGTAGAATGATGTCTTACGTGAGGAAATATCATACAAGAAGGTAAAAATCATTGTTTATAGATGATAATTCTAGTATTATGTGAAATTCAATCAATATCACGTTGAGCTCAAAATGATAACATTATGATGAGACAATTTTGCTTGCTTTTTTCAAAAATATCTGACATTGTTTTGTAGCATGTGTTGGTATTATTTCTACATTAGGTGTTAAACTTAATTCCTGCCGTTTTTCGTCTCCAAAATTGATTTGTTTCGAAGGGAAATACCTTAATCAAAGTATTATTAATAACGTATTATTAATTAGTAATAATGTAGAAAATGGAGGAAATTTGTATACTTTGATTAAGGTATTGATTCATCTTCCTTTCGAAACAAATCAATTTTGGAGACGAAAAACGGCAGGAATTAAGTTTAACACTTAATATTTCTACATATTTCAATATATTATAATATATTTGATGTTATCTCTCTATAATAGATATATACTGTTATTATTTTAATTTCGAGTATTGTTGTATTCACAAATATAAGTAATATTAATAACAATTCCTATGCAACATAATAATACAGTTATTTTATACTCTCTTTCAAATGTTATTTACTTTTAGGTTCAAAAATCAAGTGAATCTTGTATATGAATACATGCAAAATTAATGCACGGTTCTATTAATAATGTAAATTAATTTTAATTGTGGTTTAACGTACTTTTTATCTTTTCTTAATTCAAAGAATTAAAAAAGTTAGAGTACACTATACCAAAAATTAAAGTAAATCTATATTAGTAGAGAGAGATTAGTCTTGTATTTATTTCTGTAGAGTTTCCCAGTAAATAAGCTGATGTTACTCATCATTTTAATATCATCTTAACGGCATTTTGATGTTTAGGACGTTACTTGGACGTCACTATAATAATAAATAACAGCTTAATTCTTTGCTGGATAATTGATAAGCGGGGAGCACAAACTCTTGCATAACGCATAACACATGAGGCATAAGAAATTGAACCAACCAGAGTTCTCTATTACATGGAAGGGAAAGAAACGGAGAACTTCGATTGGTACATATTCTTATGCATTACGTGTTGCGCGTTATGCAAGAGTCTGTGCTCGCCGCTTTAATATGATATCAAACAAATAGCAAAATGGCAGTCAAGATCACCGTCATGGTATGGGACATTTTGCAGTCACATAGTCGTCATTTTGCCATCGTTTTGATTATTCTTTTTGACATCATATTCTTAATCAATTTGACGTCACATTAACATCACCTTGACTAAGTAGTTTTTACTGAGTCTTGTAGGCAGACAAGATATTTCTCTACTGCAGACTTTTATTTGATTGTATTGAAAAATGATATATTTAATAAAGCAATTAAATAAAAATCCTTGACTCGCTGTCCAAAATGTTGTTGGTAATGCAAACTTGTGGCCTAAATTCATACGGGAAATGTTTTGAGATTTAACCGATCATAAACGAATATAATTTTTATAATAAAATTTTGTAATAAATTTTTGTAAATTGTGCCTATACATATAAATGCAACATCTGAAGATTTTTTATATAACATTTTATGTTTCCCATTAAAACAAAAAGTCGGGAACGCAAGATTCACGATAGATTTACTTATATTTAAATCATTAGGTAATATTATTAATTTTAATTAACAAATTTAATAATACATTATAAAACATTTGTAACTTTTTTCAAAATTTATAGGAATTTGGACAATGGCGAAGTCGAGTTTATAGTTACGGCATCTATTTTAAAGAAATGTTGGATTTAAACTTTAATTCGTATAAAAAAAATTAAAAAGGTTTTAATTAATTTTAAATAACTTAAGCTTCTCTGTTTTAAAACAAATTTGTTTTAAAAACACAAATTCACTGCTTTAAAAAGACAAATTATTTTCTTATATTGTTTTTAAAACAGTGAATTTGTGTTTTAAAAGCAATGAACCACTGCTGTGACAAATTTTCTAACCTAAATAGTCGTCAACTATAATAATATATTTCGATTCGCGGAGCAGCGCGACATGCAAGTAAACAAGCTTAAAATCATGCATAAAAATCATTGTACAGAAATCATGGATGTCAGTATGCACCGCTCAATGCATGAACGTATTCTAGCATGCATCGGAGCAAGCATGACTGCATTCATGCGTATCATTCAAGAAAACGAGCATCGTGTGATTCTATCTTTAGAATACTTATAATAAGAGTACGGCCAACAGGGTAACGATCGGTGATTGGTCCGCCAAATTGAAGCAAAAGCGGAAGTTGCATACCCATGTGTACACCCAAGGACTTTGATTCTTTCTCTCGGAATTTCACGAACTGAGAAATGACCACTTTTCTACATTAATGCTCATAATCTGTGCGCGATTAACGACACGATTGAATTGACGCGACGCGCTGATTGAATTATATTTTTAGACCTAGAGGAATGATCTTATCTCAGCAGACATTCATAAAAAAAACACGGTTGCGTTCTGCTGAACGCACCTATTGTTACATGTACAATTTTACTTCAGGTTGTGCTCCAAAATTTATTATCAGTACTGACAATCTATAGTTTACGTTACGTGCACTATATAGATTTTCAGGGGAGTGGCACACTTGCGAACGGTACATTTGCACACGTTGCAGTTGCGCACGTTTCAGATGGACACCCAATAATGCGCACGGTTCATTTGCACACGTTCATTTGCACATTGTTCAATTGCACATCATTCTTTTGCACACCGTTTAATTGCACACCGTTCTTTTGCACACGTTCATTTGCACATCGTTCAATTGCACATCGTTCTTTTGCACACCGTTCAATTGCACACCGTTCTTTTGCACACCGTTAATTTGTACACGGGGCTACCTACATTGCAATTTCTTAGCTGTTAGGCCCAAGACCCTAAGCGAATAGGATATGTTATTTTGTTTTATTCGGGGCTACGCCGCCCCGAACCAATATGCTACTGTCTACACACCCTACTGTCTACATGGGTTATTTGAAATACAAGTATATAATTCTCGTGTGCAAATGAACGGTGTGCAAATGAACGGTGTGTAAAAGAACGATGTGCAATTGAACGGTGTGCAAATGAACAACGTGCAATTAAACGGTATGCAAATAAACGGTGTGCAAATGAACCGTGCGCAATATTACGTGTCCGTCTGAAACGTGCGCAATTGCAACGTGTGCAAATGTATTGTGCGCAAGTGAAGGCCTCTCGATTTTCAGTACTGACAATAAATTTTTGAACATAGCTTCAGTTTTACACTTCACATATAAAAATGCGCGCGCGTTTCGATGTGTTTTCGGTTTTGCCTCATTTTTATTCTGTTGGCCGTACTCTTATTATAGATACTCTAGACCAATAAGTGAGTCCTTTTCTAAATGAGGATTACCCCACTCTTCATATTTATGAAGCGCGCGCGCGCGCGTATGTGTATGAGTATTTATTTATACAAAAAATACGAGAGTAGTACTTACGTTGATTCGGAAGGTATTGGTTGATCCATCAACTTCTCTGACATTGGAGATAGAGGATACGGCTGCACCAGGGGCTGTGACATACCGTCTCCATCTAAATAACATTTCAAATGCTATTTCATTTTTTATATATACTCCCTTTGTACGTGCTAATCGCGTTCTTCGATAATTTCTGGGTCTTAGAACTTTATTTCTAAAATTTCTTTTATACGACAAAACAAGTTGAGTTTCAAGAAACACATTCTTATATTTTGCGACTTCGCAATTTCGTGTTGCAAAATGTAAGAATGGCTGCGTTCAGCGGACTCAACAATTGAGTGCTCGCTATTATTAGTGTATTCTTTTAGATCATCCAATCAGTATTTTAAATCTGGAAGAATACACCAATAGCAACGAGCGCTCACTAAACTGTTGAGTCCGCTGAACGTAACTATTGTGCTTCGTAAGATTCAACATGTTTCATCATATAGTAAAGAGAACTTAATCACATATAACTGTTTTGCTAACAAAACGGTTTTAAATACTCCTTAAAAAAACATATAGACGTAATAGATATATGGACTGCACATTCTCTCATCTTACATGGAAAGAACGATGTTACTGAAATAAAAATTTAGGCCCATCAAAATAATTATGTAGGAATTGTAGAAAGTTGATTACACACTCAAATGTAAAAACTTTTTGCAGCATTGCTCATTACGCTTAAGTTTCCTACATATAGGGGGAAGTTGTCTAATTGTACCTCCATTGTATTTTCTAAACAAAACATTTTTTTTTTAAATGACGATGTCATACTAATGACAGATGTGACGCTAGTAATTTGGTTTAAGTACTGTCATTTTTGTTTTGTCTTTGAACCATCCGTTTGCAACATTTAACATTGATTTTGTTCGGTGTCTTAATACAATTTATCTAAAATATTAATGACATTATCAGTACAAGGTGACTAATTGAATTATAATGTACTACAGGGTTATAATTGATTATAATTGATATTTAAACTCTTTTCAAAGTATAGGATCAAATTAACAAAATATTTAATTAAATTTATAAGTTATGTTGTTGTCGGCAAATTTATAAAAATAGAGAAAGTGGGGTAAATCGTACTTATTGCTGGTCTTTATATCGTACTTACATTTAAGCTAAAACAATAGACTAAAATTGAGTAGTTGAATAATACTTGTCACTAGTTTTTATATTATATCTAAATTTAAGATAAAATAACATATTAAGATTGAGTAATTAAATAATACTTTTGTAATTTTTTGATATTTGTATAAGAAAAAATATGTTTGTATTAAATCTTTTTAAGATAATTTATTAAAAATTATTTATAGATATTATTTGTTGGATTTTAAGAAAATTTAACTCTTTCTTTATAAAAACTAATTTTATTATTAGAAGTACGATTTAGGAATCCAATTAAACAATTTAACAATCCGGTCTCCAAAGCGTACTTAAAGCTTTTTTGAAAATCTTATTTTAAACAATAACTTAATGTTTATTTCTAAAAATATTGTTTGCTTACCAATAAACCAAAGTTTAATATAAGTACAGAAATATTCTGATCAGTAATTTTGTTACAATTTTATTTAAATGTTAAGGGATACGATATAGGCGACTTCTCTCTACATTATTTTGGTGGTTCAATAAAATTATTTTCAGATCTGTATTTAACTAAATTTAGATACTTACTTTACCAAACTTTGCATTAAACCAAATTTTTTTCATGTAGCATCTAATGTGCTCTGTTAGAAAAAGAATGCAATCAATAAAACGTTTACGTATACAGTGACTGACAAAAAAAAAGAGATGACTATAATATTATAAGCTTTTATTTTAAAAAATTATGAAAAAATGAAAATAACTTGAAATAATTTAGCTCAGATAGTTTTTTGTTAACAAAATTTTAATGTTTAAACAGATTTTTCTTTACCTTGTTTAAATTAATTCATATTTCATTTTTTTGAGAAATGTTTTACTTAATATTAGGACAAAAAAATGATCATATTTATTTTTTATTAAATAAAAATAAAATTTGAAAAAAATTAGAAAAAGCAAAAAATATATTTTAATATTTAGTATAACTTCCTTTCGCTTTGATCACTGCCTGAAGTCGTCTTGGTATACTCTCCACGAGGTTTTGAATGTATTTTTCATTTATCTTCTCCCAGATCTTTTGAAGCTCCGCGAAATAATTTTCCTTATTAGTCATTCCGATTTTATCAATTTTTTTATCCAAAATGGACCATAGATTTTCTATGGGATTGAGGTGATTGTAGAGGCCAATCAAAAAGTTTAATTCTGTTGGATTTCATAAATGTCTGACTTCTTTTTGCTGTATGCTTCGTATCATTGTCTTGCTGAAAGACGAAATTATCTTCCACACACACACACACACACACACACACACACACACACACACACACACACACACACACACACACACACACACACGCACGCACGCACACACACACACAATCCGACGCGAAGCAATGATATTCACGAAGAATATTAATATAGGTATTTGCAGTCATAATGCCATCGATTTTTACTAAATTTCCTACTCCTGATCAACTAAAGCAACCCTAGACTATAATGCTGTTTCTCCGTGCTTTATAGTTTGTTGCAAATGACGCTTTTGATGTTGAATGAATATGATGAATATGATAAATATGAATTATTCAATCGAAAAACAAGGCTCAACTATGGAGAAAAACCGGAGAAGAACATCAATAGAAAATCTATGATCCATTTTGGATAAGAAGATTGATAAAACCGGAATGAGGAAAATAAGGAAAATTATTTCGCGGCACTTCAAAAGACCTGAGAGAAGATAAATGAAAAATACATTCAAAACCTCGTGGAGAGTATGCCAAGACGAATTCAGGCAGTCGAAGCGAAAGGAAGTCATACTAAATATTAAAATGTAGTTTTTCGCTTCTTCTAATTTTCTTTAAATTTTATTAATAAAAAATAATTATGGTCTCTTTTTTTATCCTAGTATTAAGTAAAATATTTCTCAAAAAAATTAAATATGAATTAATTTAAATAAGATGAAGAAAAATTTGTTATGAACATTAAAATTTTGTTAATAACAAACTGTGTCTGAGCTAAATTATTTCAAGTTTTTTTTATTTTTTCACATTTTTCTGAAATAAAAGCTAATAATATTATAGTGGTTTTTTTTTTGTTAATCACTGTAAGTATATCGGTATCACTCTTCAACTCGATACTTTAAAGTTAAAGAAAAAAAGAAAGGAGGAGAGGGAAGGGGGGAGAGAGAGAGAGAGAGAGAGAGATATTTCATTCTTTTGAAGACTGTATTCCAAAATTCACTGTCAGTGCTGAAAATGTATAGTACACGTAACGTAGACTGTAGATTTTCAGTACTGGCAGTGAATTTTGAAACACAGTCGAAATCGATATGAGTGACAACTTTATGGGAATGCCTAGCCTATACCTATTACGTCTATGAAAAAACTAGATTCTTATTTGTTTACTAATATTTCTAAAATTATGACAGATATTATATAACGAATATGTTACGTGCAAAATTTTATGGTTCCTTAAAATATGTATATGTGTATAACGGTTGCCAGATCCCGAGCATTGTACAGCTGGGGCCCGATGGTCCGTGCGCTGAAGATTTCATATTTCGACTGGAGGCCGGCCGATTGTTTCATTGAAAAAAAAAGAGAAAAAAAGGCGCAGGGTTAATTCGTGTTTTGCGACTACTGATGCAGATTTTCTTTTGTTATTAATATTTGACCAACATAAAGAGTGTTAACACAATCACGAAGACCTTTTTATTATTATTACAAGATTACATACAGTGCGAATACGATTACAAACTTTTTTATTATCCGTAAAATAACATAAACTTCGAACATAATCATAGACTTTCTTATTACTTTCTACATAATTTAAATATGCAATTAATAAGTACTCCACGCGAGCGAAAAACTGGAGATTTTTCCCGTCTGCTGGAGAACTGAAGATTGGTCTCGAAAACTGGAGTCTCCAGTCGAAATCTGGAGACCTGGCAACCGTGGTGTATAATTTAGAGAGAACATTTGTAAATAATAATAAGTATTCTTATAATTTTTATTGCGATGTTGAGAATTTCTGCAAAATAATATTCCAATCCACGGAACGCAAACAAAGACAGAAGACTTAAAATTTGTTTGTCTTGAAATATAAGAAACATAAGAGAAAGAGTTAAAAATAACACATTTTACAAATCATACATAATAAATGGAAATGTTGACAAATGTTTTTTAGTAAAGTTAGTTACACGACACAAGATTCTTCTTATTATCTCAGAATACGAAGCTTAAATTTCAGATTTGTTTTTAATTTTGTATAATCTGCTTAGGGAATTATAATATAATTAGGGAATTATAATATAATTCCCTAAGCAGATTATACAAAATTAAAAACAAATCTGAAATTTAAGCTTCGTATTCTGAGATAATAAGAAGAATCTTGTGTCGTGTCACTAACTTTCTAACAATCTGGAAATTCATATATTATATGAATTTCCAGATTGTCGCTTAAAACATGTTAAATTGTTGTTCGATCTAATACGAGTTTAACTTAGATAACGCAATTACATGTGGGACATGCGACGTTCGTTTTGCATTCCTGCTCGGTATGAGGGCGTTCCGCGAGGTCGCAGTCCCTGGAGATGGCACCAACACCATCTTTGCATTCGATCGTCCTCGTCCGTATTCCGGTGCCACAGGTCACGGAGCACTGCATAAATAAAAAGTTAAGATGCACACTTCGCGTAGAATTGCAATAAGATGCAATGTGGGCCGATAAAAAGCGAGGAATAATGCAAGCGATTTATAAAAATTGTAGTGGCGACATTCACACTTGAAGAGATAAATCACATCAATATTTATTCAAATGAATTAGTAGAAACATTTAATGACATAGTAATATAAAATATGTAGTACAATAATATATGTATAATACAGGGAAT